AAAAACTACACAGAATAAAAATATGCAAGTATAAAAAACTACACAGAATATAAATATTTAAGTATAAAAAACTACACAAAATATAAATATATAAGTATTAAAACCTACACAAAATATAAATATATAAGTATAAAAAACTACACAGAATAAAAATATATAAGTATTAAAAACTACACAAAATATAAATATATAAGTATTAAAAAACTACACGGAATATAAATATATAAGTATAAAAAAACTACACAGAGGCATAAATATACTACATTGTAATATATGTGATATATATACTATATAAATATATGTAATATATATTCACTGTATAAATATATATAGCATAGTATGTATAATATGCATACTATGTGTAGGAAAAACTACACGGAAGTATAAATTAGGAAGAACCTACACACAAAAACACAAGTATTTGCTGTGAGAGAGCAAAAAAGAGCCCTTTAAATAACAAATACAGGGAATTAAGGTGCTGGTTTTCAGCCGGCAGAGGACTTTGGAAGGGAACACCCTTCAAGACGCAGAAATAGCCACGGCAGCACAGCAATGTCCCAGAGATCCCAACACGACAGCTGTTTAGAAAGGGATTAAAGGTCTTTTTGGAAAGGGATGAGCGAGAGAAACGCGATTTGATACCAAGAGAAAGCGGAGCTGGAAACACGCAGGAAAACAGCGGCAGGAAGCGCAACCCCGCGGGGGACCTGTCACAGAACCACGAAAATCACAGCATATCCTGCGATATGTGGGATAATCCGGGGAAAACGCCCCAAATCCAACAGCGCGAGGGCGGGGGAGCCCGAATCCCCCCCTCTCCCACAACCTCCCCACACGCCCCAAAGCCCCGCGGGGCTGCGGGAGGGGCCGCCCGCACTCACCGGGGGAGCGCTCGGGAGGGAGGAGGACGCGGCCCCGAGAGCGCCGTGAGAGGTGCTGGGAGGCTCCGGGCGGGCCCGGCCGCCCCTCAGCCCCTCACGGCCCCTCACGGACCCCCGGGCGCTGTGAGGGAGGAGAGGGAGGAGGAGGAGGAGGAAGAGGAGGAGGAGGAGGAAGGAAGATGGCGGAGCGACGTCACCGCGCAGCGTGAGGCCACGGCGGCCATGTTTGGTGAGGGCGGCCGCCATGTTGGCTGAGGGCAGGAGCCACCTCCCCCTCAGGGGGAGCGGCGCCGCCTGAAAGCGGCTCTTGAAAGAAACCTCTCCTAAGGCTCAGTTGGTGAGAAAGGGCGGAAAGCGAGGAGCAGCTATGAATCCCCCTGTGCGGGGCGCAGCGCGGTGAGCATCCCGCGAGGAATCTTGTCCCCTCGCGGCGGCCGTACGGACCCCCCCCCATACACCCCCCCCCCCCCCCCTCGTTCCCGCCTAAACCGCGTGGGCGTGGCCGCGCTCCGTGAGGGGCCCGCGGCGGCCATGAAGGCGCTGCGGCGGCTGGGCCGGCACCGCACGGCGCTGGGGCTCGGCGGGCTGTCCCTGTGCGCCGCCGTGCTGCTCTACCTCGCCAAGTGCACCTCCGAGGGGCTGCGCCCGCTGCCCGCGCCCCCCGCCGCCCTGCCCCACAGCCAGCCGGGCCGCGGCGGCGCCCCGCCCGCGCCCCCCGCCCGCGCCGAGGGCAGCGCCCTGGTGGCCGTGGTGGTGATGAGCGGCCCCAAGTACAGCGAGCGGCGCAGCATCATCCGCAGCACCTGGATGGCGGCGGGAGGGCGCTCCCAGCGCGGCCGCGTGTGGAGCCGCTTCGTGGTGGGCACGGCCGGGCTCGGGCAGGAGGAGCTGCGGAGCCTGGAGCTGGAGCAGAGCCGGCACCGCGACCTGCTGCTGCTGCCGGAGCTGCGCGACTCCTACGAGAACCTCACGGCCAAGGTGCTGGCCACCTACGTGTGGCTCGACCTGCACCTGGACTTCCAGTTCGCCCTCAAGGCTGACGACGACACCTTCGTGCGCCTGGACGTGCTGGTGGAGGAGCTGAAAGCCAAGGAGCCGCGGCGGCTCTACTGGGGCTTCTTCTCGGGCCGGGGCCGGGTGAAGTCGGGGGGGAAGTGGAAGGAGAGCGCCTGGGTGCTGTGTGACTATTACCTGCCCTACGCGCTGGGCGGCGGGTATGTCATCTCCGCCGACCTGGTGCGGTACCTGCGGCTCAGCAGCGACTACCTGAACATGTGGCAGAGCGAGGACGTGTCCCTGGGGGTCTGGCTGGCGCCCATCGACGTGAAGAGGGTGCACGACCCCCGCTTCGACACCGAGTACAAGTCGCGGGGCTGCAACAACAAGTACATAGTGACTCACAAGCAGAGCATCGAGGACATGCTGGAGAAGCACCAGACCCTGGCGAAGGAAGGGAAGCTCTGTAAGGAGGAGGTTAAGCTCAGGCTTTCCTACATGTACGACTGGGGGGTGCCCCCCTCGCAGTGCTGCCAGAGGAAGGATGGCATCCCGTGAAAAGCCTGAGGGAAGGGGTGCTGAGGGACTCGCAGCTTGGTTACTGTTACCTGGGGAGAATCCCAGTAACCAGGGGTTACAAATTACTCTTAAAAAAAAAAAAAAAGGTTTTTGCACGACTCATTATGTCAACGAAACCCTGAAACTCCCCGAGAGAGCTGCTGACGTGGCAGGAGGGAGAGGTGTTTGAAAGAAAACACAGGAATAGGTGGCAGAAAGCAAGGAAAGGCTCCTGTGACAGGACTGAAGGCGAAACATGGATAGTAGAGAAAACACGGGGAGAGAAAAGTTGCTGGGAGACTTTCCCAGGATTTATTTGCTAAAGATCAATGACAGGCCTTTGTGCTGTTGATAAGGTTGTGAAAACAGAGCCTGCTGCTGTTTCCTGGCAAGGAAGAAGTGTCAGTTTGGGAAGAGTAAAAGAGCTGCAGATCAGCTGCTGTTGCAGAGGGAACAGGGCTGGTTGTTGGCACAGGCAGGAAAAGGGACCAGTTTGACCTGGGATACCTGTGCTGGGGGAAGGGAGAGTGTTCCTGGCAAGGAATGGAGTTATTAGACCTTCTGTGTAACTTGTCTCTAAAGCTTTTTGCTGTTTTTAAAGTCCACATGTACATAAATAATTCTAAATTAAACCTGGCAGCTCCAGAGCGTTTGGAAAGGTGGGTGAGTTTGGTATTGGGCAGGTAGAGATTATATTCTCTTTTTTTGAGGGGCAGACAGTTCTGCAGAGCCTTCAGGGGTTGGTTCTCACACTGTGTGTGAGGAAACATTTCCCTTCCAGCAGTAAATATCTCACACTGCTGCAAGGCATTGTAGAATTCAGCTTTTTATATTGCTCTGGATTAGTTCTCATCTAAATTAGCAGTGCAAGTCCAGAAAACATTGCCCTCAGCTAAAAGAAATAAACCATGTAGTCAAGAGAAATAGGTTCCTCCACCCTGCAAACTCCTGTTTGAGAACAGGAAAAATTACCCTCTTTTCAGTGTAAAAAGTCACATTTAAATGCCCAAAGCTGGACTGGGTGAATTCCCTCCTCCTCTCCAACGAGCACCTTGTAAAGGAACTCAAAATAATTCTCCAGGAGGTCTGAATTAACTGCTCAAGTGACAATAAATGTGATTATGGCCCTGAGCTGTGGCTACACTGAAATAATTCTTGGAGCTGGCCCAGCATCAGCTGCACATTTCAAACAGTCACTGCTGGCAGACAAACAATTCCACCACATTATTCCTCTCCAAACCTTTAGCTGAGGATTTCAAACATATATATATATATATAAAATATATATAATATATAACACCCACAGGTATTTTTTTCCAACTCCCAGTGAGCTCTGTCAGCTGCAGCTCTTTTTTTTAGTTCAGAGTTTTTTTGCTTTTCTGTGTGAAAATGTCACATTTCTTTCTCTTTGAAGTGTCCTTTTTTTTCCCCCCCAGGGACATCCTTAAACCAATTTTACTCTTTGTTGCACTCTGCACTTTCACACCCGCAGGAAGAGACAAAAAACCCAAACAAAAAGGGTGCCAATATCTTTATTTTCACAACAAAATGAGCAATTCACACCAAAGGACTCCAGTGTTGTTTTGTTGTTGTTGGGTTTTTTTTTAATTATTCTCATTTTGATCAAATTATCGAGGATTAAGAGAAGTGAAAACTCGAGTGAATCTTTGATTTCCTCCAAAAAACAAAGTGAAATTAAGGAAAAAACTTAATTTATTATATAGCATGTGACCATCCTAATGCATGTTTAGGTGCTGCCAGTGCTCTTCCAAACCAGGAATTTCAGGAGATCAGAGGAAATTTCCCTGGATTTTAACTAATTTTTTTTTTATTTTTAAGTGTCTGTATATATGTGCTTAAACACCTGTAATGTTATTTATTTATAATTCCTGCCAATGTATTCTGTACAGGAAAAATAAGCTACTTAAATGACATTTTGAAACTTCAGGAGGGAGTTTTTTTCATGTCCAAGCCATGATTTTTGGGGCAGAAATGCAGATTCCTCTTTTCCCAGCTATTCCAAAGATCCTGTTGCTCCATTTCCACCCACCACTGGATCCATGGAAACTGGAAACTCTCTCACTTCCCCCCCAAAAAAAAAAAAAGGGATTTTTCATCGCTGGGAAAGGAAGAAATGTTGGATTTCCAGCTGAGCTTGGAGAGCCTGGAAAACATTATGTGGAAAAATATCCAGAAATTGTGGTGATTATTTGATATTCCAGGATCTGGGAGGTCTTTTCCAACCTAAATGATGGGGGGAGAGCTGGATTTTGGTCCTGGTTTGAGTTTTCCTACTAAAAATCCTTTTATTGCAGGTGCAGCACTTGGATTTCAATCCCCAAAAATTCCACAAAAGAAAATAAAAAATAAAGAT